AAGTCAGGGAAGAAATATAAATCACTACACTACTCTTGTGTCTCATCAGTGACTATAAAGTAAAAAAGAAAATAACTTACCTCTATAGCAAAGATTCCTTTGTCACGCCCATACAATTTCATCTCTTCTGGAAAATGCTGAAAAGCATTTATGTAAGGAATATGGCCCTCTTCGACAAATCTATATTTTTAAAAAGAAAAAGTTTCAGGGCTATCTACTGACTTAGCAGAGTAAACTTTTTCTGAAAATCTCTTATTTCAAAGACAAGGTAAGAATCAGTTAAGCATAGTTTATCTTCCACATATTTTTAAAGAAGATAAATTTGATCATATCTACTGTTCTCTGTACCCATGTGTAGAACTATTTAGCCAATTATCTAATGATTCTCTTAAGGTTCTTTTTTTCTTTCAAATTGTTTTTCATTTGTGGGGAGGGGGTGGCTGGCTGGTACAGGAGTCCAACTATGACGCTAGAATTATAAAGCTGTGTTCTAACCAACTGAGCCAACCGGCCAGCCCTCTCTGAAGTTTCTGAATAAATAGATTAAATATGTCTAAGAAGTATGTACCTTATCTGTCAGTTCACCTTCAGGCTTTCCAACATGGCATTCCTTCTATCCCTGGATCCCCTACTGGGATTAGGTCCTATTCATTGTGTAAGTCACTTCTTCTGGGAGCCCGTCCTTGATCTATCTGTCTTCTGTGATAGCATACCTCCCTTGTCTACCCTTCTGTCCCCAGTACCTATCACAGCGCCTGGTAGATGTTATTGCTGGAAGAACTATTAAGGGGAGGGGCCTTGCCTGTTTGCCCACCACTCCAAGCCAATGTCCAATAGGAGATCAAATATTTTGAGTCAATTATTGAGTTCGAAGAAAACAGTACACAGTTCATATAAACAGACAAATATATTTATTTACAATTCATTCATTCACTGAACAGAAATCTGAGTACTATATACCCAGCACTATTCTAGGCTGCAGGGATACAGTAGTAAACAAAAGAGGAAAACATTCTTATTCTCCTGGAGTTTATATTCTAGTAAGAAGAGAAATACAATAAACAAAACAAATAAGTAAGATCTATAGTATGTTAGGTAGGGAAAAATGTTAAGAAGAAAAAGAAAGTAGAAAAGGAGAATAGAGAATGAGGAGTGAGGTTTCTGTAAACACCTTATATATTTACATACATAAAGATTTTTTTAAGTAAGAAAACTGTCAAGGAAAATAACATAAAGATAGGAATAAGTTAGTATAAAAATGCATCATTAAAGTCTTTGCTGTTGCTAGAGCTATGCCAGCATTTGGCTTTTGGCTTTCTAGCAGTTGAAGGACAAAACTGACTCAACTTTAATTTCAAATTTAAAATGTGATTTCTTTAACTTTTAGTCTATTGAAAGGTGAAAATTAGATATTTTATGTAAAAATGGTTAAAGCCTCCCCTAGCTAGGTCTTCATTAGTTTCTATGGTTTATATGAAAGTATTTGTGCATAGTAATCAGTATTCATATTATTTTGGAACTACATTTTTGGTTTAATATTATTTTATATACAGGATATAATATATGCCTATCACCTTGAAAACTACCTAGTATTCCTTTACATTAATGTACTCAGAATTTATTTAGTCTTTCCCCTCATGGGATAATACATGCCAGTACAATGTGGAGTGTTAGGAGTTCAGAGATGAATAAGAGATGAAGAGCTCCTCCCACCCCAACTCTAACAGGTCAGACAGAACCTGCAGAGGACCCAATACAGATGCTGCCCCAAGTGCTGCCACAGAAACTCACTCACTCAGTACTGCAGGAGCAGAGGAAGAAAAAAGACTGGCCCAGGGGAAGCAGAGATGTCTGCACAAAGCAGATCTTGGAGATCAGTTTTGTTTTTCTTTTTAATTTATTTTTATTTTTTTTTATTTCGAATACTCATGAGATACAAAGCTGATTGTCCCCCCTCCTGCCCATGATGTAGGGGCCAGATTCATATTGGGGACATACCCATTACCAGAAATTGCTTTTGTGCCCTTTGTCCCCTCCAATTATCTGCCAACTTCCCTCCCCCTCCCCCTCTCCCCTCAACTTCAATTTGTAGCCCTAGGAATGTTCCCTTGGTTGGATCATGGCACTACTGTGGTCTTTCTTTCCTGCCTTCCTTTCTCTCTTAGCTCCCACATATGAGTGAGCACATTCAGTATTTATCCCTCTGTGCTTTGCTTGTTTCACTCAACATAAGTTTCTCCAGGTTCATCCATGTTGTTGCAAATGGGAGTATTTCATTCTTTTTCATGGCAGAGTAGTATTTCATAGTGTATATATACCACAGTTTCCTTATCCAATCATCTACTTATGGACATTTAGGTTGGTTCCATACCTTGGCTATTGTAAACAGAGCTGCAATAAACATATGAGTGTAGGTATCTCTTTGACATGATGATTTCCATTCCGCTGGATATATACCCAGAAGAGGGACTGCTGGATCATACGGAAGATCTATCTCCAGTTGTTTGAGAAACCTCCAAATTGTTTTCCAAAGTGGCTGTACTAATTTACAGTCCCACCAACAGTGCAGAAGTGTTCCCTTCTCCCCACACCCTTGCCAGCAAGTGTTATTCACTGTCTTTTTGATCATAGCCAGTCTAACTGGAGTGAGGTGCTATCTCAATGTGGTTTTAACTTGCATTTCCCTGATGACTAGTGATGTTGAACATTTTTTCATGTATCTGTTGGACATTTTGTATGTCTTCCTCTGAAAAACGTCTATTCAGCAACTTTGTCCATTTTTTAATTGGGTAATTTATTTTTTTTACTGTATAATTGCTTGACTTCTATGTATATTCTGGATATTAGTCCCTTATCGGATGCATCATTGGCAAAAAATTTTCTCCCACTCTGTAGGTTGTCTTTTCACTCTGTTGATTGTTTCTTTTGCTGT